TAGCCAAAGAGAGACTTAACAGGACCCAGGAAACACAGGGCAGGCTCATAAAAGCTATGAGACAAAAACAAAACACCAAAAGCAAAATACTTCTAGAAAATAGACATTAACTGAATCTCAAGGACTAAATTGTAACCAATAACCTAGAAATCCACCTGAAGAAGAATAAACTCAAAGCTACTGTGGGGATCACTAAAGGAAGCAGCTGAAAGAAGAGAAATTTTACAAAATAAAGCTTTAAAACATGTAAGACGGAATTATGTAAAATCTCTCCTGTTAAAATGGTAGCTGGTTATATTAAACTTTTTATAAAATGGTCTGTTTATGTGCATGTAATCCCTGTGAGCTCAGCCTTAAGACGGCTGTAGAAGCTCAGTTTCTGACAGTTTTTTCTGCCCTTTGTTGCTGTATGATGTAAAAGAGATGGGATAGCCTTAATCCCCGCCCACCTGCTTACTAGAGGCAGCCAATCAGAACAAAGTTGGTTTAAATGGATGGAAAAGTCTTGTTTCACAGAGTGTATGAATTGAGGCCCCTTAGATAAATTAGCTTTTTTTGTTTTGTTTTTTGCTTTTCTTTAACTTCCCAACATGGAGCTGGAAATGTCCATAGCAGGTCTAATATAAAACGTTATTATTAATTTTAGTTGGCAAATAAAATAAGACTATTCCAGCATTTTCGTATTCATCAGTTCTTTCTTTTATGCCGTTTCTTCTGCAGGACCTCAGGCCTCTGTACGCGGGCCGCTGTGCTTATCACACCAGTGACACGGCGTCTGAGCATGATGTAAGAAAGACATTTAACTCATATTCAATGAGCCATTAAATGCTGTCTGTCAGTGTGATCATTGTTTGTATAGGCTTGAATTGTTGGGGGGGCTGAATAATCCATGCAGGCTCAAAGAGCTAATTTTTGCACTTCAGGTGCCATGTCATACAGCAGGCACATCCTGTAACCTGCGAGTGAAGAGCAACACCTGCTACTGCTGCGACCTCTACAACTGCGGGAAGTGAGTATGCCGAGGGGGTCGGGCACCCGACAGACCTCAGAAGCTGCGCCTTCTCGCTATGCAGCGTTTATATTTCGATGTGCGCTCCTGTGTCATTTTAATTTGCACTGCAGCGGTGATTGTATCAGACCAGGATGTTTCTTTTGTTGTTTAACCTTTGTTTCAGAGAACATCCTCTTATGGGACCTCAGAATAAAGATGTTTTGAAAAAGTTTAAGAAATCATCCATGATTTGGAAGTAGGTCCCTTTTTTCTAGGCTATTAATGCCCAGTATTGATCAACTCGGTCTTGTCTTGTCTTATTTTATTTTTTAAGAAAACATCATAGAAATGTGTCGTAGGTTGTCATTTCCTCTGCATGTTTGTGTGTCACCAACCTCAGTCCGTGTCTCCTCCCAGCTTTCCAGCAGCAACTTCTGAATGTTTATAACCATAAATCAACCCCAGTTTTGTTTTTCTGTGTCTTGTTGATGTAGGTGCGTCTTTAAAAACTACTAAACGCTGTCAGTGATTTTTCTGGCTTGACTATAGGCTTTCACCCTCTCTGTTTTACCCCACTGGCCTAGCCGTGTTGAGTTAATGGGAGGCTACCATGAATATACAGATGTGAAAAGCTGCCAGGACGTCATACACCTCTACCACCTCTTGTGGTCGGCTACGATCCTCAACATCGTGGCCCTCTTCCTGGGCATCATTACTGCTGCAGTGCTGGGAGGCTTCAAAGACATGGTGCGTCCACTTGAACGAGCGTGTCAGATTTATCAGTAGCCGCTTCTCTGTAATCGCAGCTCTCCAACTGTTACATCGATGCACTCTGTTGCTTCATCAGACACCTGCTCCTGCCTCAGAGAGCACATCTGAACCAGAGGCCATCACAGCTCCAGTCCCCTCAGAGATCCCCCCGCCCGTCACGTCTCTCAACCCATATTACAACACTGCCCCCTGCCTGCCACCATACTCGGCCTACGACCTGCAGGTATGCAGCTGCTTTAAAGGTGCAGTTGAGAAGTGTGTGCTTCGAATTATTTATGGACAACAGTCAAGCTCTTTATCAGGACATTTGTGTTAGTAGGATCTAATGACGATTGTTTCTAGGGTTACCAATTGGATCCATATAAAGTCCTCACGCATTTGATGCCAGCATACAATAGCTCAGAGCATATATATATTGTAATAAATGTTTTCCTTTATTCGCAGGGCTCCTATGTGTTCCCTGACTCTTCAGGCCTGTCAGACGATTCCCAGTCTGGAGCCAGCCACCTCTGGCCTACAATGATCCCTCCACGCTACTCCCCTCCTCACAACCTTCCAGATGAGAAGCCCCCACCATACAGCCCGTAAGACAGCTGCGAGAAAAGGAAACACCTGAAACATCATCGGCTGTTTGCACAGTTCTTCTGGACTTTTCTTCATAATCCTTCGGAAGAGTGTTGAAGAAAAAGAGGCGAGGAAGGGGAGGAGAGCCACAGAGCACACTAACTTTGACTTCAGCCCAAGGCGAGGGAGAAAGCATTCGTCTCCCCGGGCACCGCTCACACTCTTCTGGCCTGCACTGTGTGTGTTTGTGCACATGCACATCGAGAGACAACCTGGTCAAAGCCAGGACTGTTTACACATCTATCTGCCTTATGCAACGTAAACAGACTTCCGGTTAGATGTATTCTGTAAAAGGACAAAACGACAGAGCTCATGCTTTACATTCACCTCTCTTTTGCAGAAACTGTAAATGCTTCCTTCCTCAAGATGGAGATCCAGTCCTCACTGGGAGGATGAGTGCAGCTACATGTGCAAGGTCGACGTTGAGCTAGGTGAAAGCTTTGGCATAATTCTTAAAATCTGAATCAGCTAGATAATTCCAAACTTAAAAATTGTAGGTCCAGGCGTTTGTTTCTGTAGCAGTTAATAGTGTCCCTGTGCGTTATTACAGGCAGAGTTAGCAGAACTGGAGGTATTACATGCTCATAGTGTATGTGCAGCAGTATAATATGCAGTTAGGCCTAGCATATACAAACAGACCAAGATTCCTATTTATCAAATCTTCACGTTATGTTTAAGAATATCCTGATCAGTGTGTGATCAACTTTGCAGAGCAGCATTAATGAAGAAATAAGCTATTGTACCTACAGTAGTTGTTCAGGATAATCAGATACCAGTTACACTCCAAACCTTATTTACTGTGTTTCCACTAAAAGCATCATATATGTGTCTCTCTTTGTCAAGTAGCAGTAGTAGCACGTTTGTGTCAGACGGGTCATTCCATGTAAAATCAGTCAAACCTGATCCACCGAATCTGCTGAGGGTTTGTTGTGCAGACAAAGAAAAATAATTGAAATCCATCTTCAAGAAGCAAAAAAAGGTCCAGCGTGATCATTTCAGTAGATTAGACAGAATCTAAAATTATCAGACACCTACCAAAGGCTGCGACTTCACAGGTGTTATACAACACTAGATGTCAGTTTTCAAACATAAGAAATCACGGCTAGAGGCTGAGGCTGAGAACTAAATGGAGGGAAAATGAAACGTTTCATAAGCTATTACTCGTTTGAAATCCCACAAAGTGATAAGACCATTTAAAAGTTACCCACAATGCATTTTTGAGGTTTTCTCCAACGAATTCTCAGAAAACATCCAGGATACCAACAACACTTTCTGTTCCTCGCGTGCAATTTGGACTGGAGCTCTCACCATCATTAAAGCCTGTTGTGGTCGATAGCAATCAGTTTGCAAGTTTAAGTCTACTTGAATTCATTTACACAAAACCAAACACTCAGCAGTTAATGGTTATAGATAGAAAAGTGTGGCATACAGTAACCAATGAATATACACATTAAAACGTTTATAGATTATTATAATATGTACAATTAAAATAACTGAATTGGCAGAGTCATAAAATCTAATTTAATCTTACAGGACAGACTGTTTGCAGATAAGCCTCCATGCCTGTATGCCATTTTCAGTCTCTATTAGCCGTCCCACATAACAAAATCCCCAGCACATGACACATATGCTGACATTCATGTAATTCATGTAGATATATATTATTTTTGTTGAGTTTTTAGTGGCTCAGCACCCGTTAATCCGATTTTTCATTCACTTAAAAAGCGCCAGTTTTTCGACCTGCCCTCATGTACGATAATCTGAACATTTTCCCTGAAGTTATTGTGCACATTAAACTAACCTCTTCTTAAGGGGTTCAGGTTGGAGCCTCGCTCTGATTTTTCTTCTTCTATGGAATGACCCAGGAGTTTGTCAGGCTCAGTGTGAACAGTCAGTGCTGGATTCGCTGATATGAAACCTCGTCAATGTCCAAGAAAGCAGTCACTGTCAGCTTCGATCACGGCTTTTCCAAATTTAAACTGCACATTCTTCTTCGTCACATCATTAAAACTTGTTTTATGTAACTCACATAGTGCCGTTTCTTTTTTATCTACTCAGTGTTGGTCACTTCTCCAGTAGGTCATAGGAGCAAAGGAGGAACTTCTGCCACAGCTTCACCTATTTTGAGGTGCATGGAGTTGACCGGTGGGGTCAAACAACACCGGTAGCACCTCTACTACATATGTGGCTGATTATATTTTTTTCTGCTTCATACTTCTGTAATTTTATATTTTCTGACGTGATAAAGGAAACCAGCAGTTGTTTTATACACTAATGCTGGAGGTTTGACATCTTTTGCACTATGATGCTATGTATTCGTGGTTTGCCTGTAATTTTTCATTTTTAGGTCACTGTGAGTTTCAGTCGTTATAAACAACTGCTGAGTGGTTTGCTATTAATTTGGTACACACGTCCCCCATACTGATAAATTGTATTCAGTGCTCTGAACTTAACTTCCTAAAGCAGACGTTACGCTCCGTTCCACCTTTATAGTTCTTAGACGCAACTAGAGCAGCTGTACATGGTTAACACTTCAAAATATTTGTCTTACAATGTGTGTGACAAACTGAAAAACTAAGCTCACTCTTAATGCTTCCATCAAAATTAAGAGGGTAAGTAGTAAATAATCAGCAAGTCTAGGAACCTCTATAAAAGGTGAGGTTTTGGCACTTTGCAGGTCTGGAGCATTCAGATGAGTGTTACCATAACACCACAATCTTCCCAGGAGTGGACGTCCCTGCAAATTTACCCCAAGGTCAGAGCATGCAATGTTCAGAGACAGTGGAAAAAAAACCCGGAGCTACATCTCAGACAGGCCTCATTTAGCATGCTAAATGTTAAAAGTCCAGGACAGTGCAAGGACCTTATAACAGCTGTCAAGCCCGATGGTGGAGGAGTGATGACTTGAGCTCATCTTACAGCCACAGGACCTGGGCACCTTGCAGTCATTGAATCAACCATGAATTTCTCTGTACAGCGTGGTATTCTAATGTAAGGCCATCTGTCTGACAGCTAGAGCTTAGCCCAAATTGTGGCATGCAGCTGGACAATGATCCCAAGCACAGCAGCAAATCTGAATGGCTAAAATTGAATCGAGGCGTTGCAATAGCCCAGTCAACGTCCCGACCTCAATGCTGACGTGGAACCTTAAGAGAGTCGTGAATGTGTGCAAACCTCCATGAAGTGAAGAAACAATAAAGAAGAAAAGGGTAAAATTCCTCCACGATGTGAGAGACTGATACAGTCATACAGAAAGTGAAAACAAGTTATTGCTGTTAGAGATGGTTCTACGGGCTAATGAAACATGGGGTTTACTTTCTCAAGCAAAACCTTCATGGTTTAAAAAAAAAAAAAAAAGACTCTGGTAAATTTAAATGTTCCCCACTGGTTTTGTTAAATCATGCTAAATGCTAAATCACACCCCAGAAAACATTTTTACAGGAGGTGAACCAAAAGAAAATAAACCTTTATAACAAGATTTAAAGCCAAAGTCCTCACACAACAGGATTTATCCATGAAACACTGTAGAATACATGCTACAAACTAGAAATGTGCAGTAGCACAAACAAGAAATAAACAGGCGCTGTTCTGTTTCTATACTGGCAGTGTGACCAATTTAAACTATAAGAAATGTTAACCTGCCGGAGTGTAGCAAGCACAAAAACACACCATACATCACATACTGATGTTAATCTGTTTATTAAAAAGAAACCCGGCATGAGGACATGACAAAGTACAGTTTCCCCTGTTAGTACTACTTGTACTAACCAATCACTACCCTCTGACACAGTGAAAAACAGAGCGGAAAAGTTATAACAAAGAGTTTTCTGCCTGAATGCTAAGTGCTACAGCTATTGACTGTAATAAAGCTCCGTTTATTTCCATCCTATCGTCACACGTGTAGGAGAAATCTCCAGCCTTCTATATGTAGCTGGGCAGATTTTGCAATTTTAAATAAAGGGAAGTGACAAAGTAACTAACAGAAATAAAAATAAAAATAAACAATGTATTTAAAGGGGAACTATTAAGCTCATTTCCAGCTCCATGCTACAGTGGCTTTGCATGACTCGCGATACAAAATAATCCTTATTTATACTGGGCCTTAGTCTGAAACAAGCTGATTAAGCACCTCCTATGTTAAGATTGGGGAGAGCCCCACTGGTGAGACACAGACCCACTGGAGTGTGATGAATGAATGAGATCCTTAAATTACATACCGACCCTGTTTAATATGAGCATCCCCTGCTGTAACCGTGTATTTTCAAAAATCTTAACAGGTCCCCTTTAACAGACAGAAAGTTTCTTTTCCAGGCTGCTACAAAAATTAAATAACTGCATACCCAGGATGACAAAATACAAATATAATTAAATTCATAATCATAATCTCTCGTACAGAATTAGATTTCAAACAGAAACGGGAATGATCGGTCCTGAAAATTCATCATTTCGTGTGTAATGTAACCAAAACTGGCTGCACATACACACAATAAGGCTTCATACATCACTTTAAATAGGTAACCCCATTTCCATTCCATTAAACACGCCTCCGTTTAACGTCATCTCACGATTAAGGGAATGTAGCCTGTTGAAAAAACAAAACTGAAAAACAAAACAGCCGTTTCATTTGTGCTTCAGCTCATTTAGCTGAAATATTCTGGGCAATAAAGATCCAGAGCACAGAGCAATTTCTTCATGTTTTGTTTGCCTTTTCATTCATAAAAACTCTTCATTTCTATCATGTTTGAACCACTTCTATTTCTGTGCTCACTTAATGTAAAAGATCATGGCCATTTTTAAAAAAAGCAGAGGAACATGAGAGGTACGGTCCCATTACATCGTTCACCATATAACTGAGAGCCACCAGCAAACTAGTACCTGTGTTATCACTACAGTATTAGTCCACTAATTCCACCTGACAGACTAATGAGACCGTACAGCTGAAACTATTGAGAATTACGCAAAAATATTGTTGATGTGGAACCGAGGAGAAAGAGGGGCACCTAAAAGGCACATGTAATAAAAGGAGTGGTGCCAGCTGTGCTTAGTAGTACTCTGCTGGACCCTGTGGAGGCGTGTTCATAGCGCTCTCCGGTTGTGCACGGCTGTTAGGCGCCATGTGAGCGTCGGGCTCGACGAAAATGTCGTCCCAGTTCAACATCCTGCTTTGGGTGGACGAGTGCATTTCTTCGCCGACTGAGGTTATGTGATGCACGCTGCCGTCCTCCGATATTACCGGGACCCCTGGCCCATCTGTAGTCCACGAGTACGACTTCATCTGCACTGTTTTACACGGAAGCAGGCGGTACAAGTTGTTGCCGCCGTCGTCCTTCTCCTTCCTCCCGCAAGGATCCTGATTGTGAACTTGCTTGCAGTGAGCGGAGAGTAACTGGTAGTTTATAAACATTTCATTGCACAACAAGCACTGGTACCTCCTCTCTCCTGTGTGGTGGATTTCATGTTTAGTTCTGTACTCGGCCAGGGCAAACACCTTGTTGCAATAACGACACGGGTACTTCTTTTCCCACGAATGCGTGTTGAAGTGACGGCGCAGACTTGGCAAACACACGTAGGGCCGCTTACAGACGATGCACACGTAGAAAGTCTTTCCATCCATGATGAGCTCGTAGTGGTCCTCCAGCTCCGTTTTGGTCTTCTTCTTGTTTGGTCCTGCCTTGGGTGACACGGGTGTTTTTTCGAAGGGTTTCAATGGTGTCGCCATAAAAGCTCTCTTCCCTTTATTGGCTTTGGAGCCTCCTTCGCCTGGATCTTCTTTCACCGGGACAATGTCATACGTATTTTCTCCAATATTGGCATACACCTTGCAGCCTGAGGAAATAGAGTCGATTTCCGTGGCTGTGCTGAGCGTCACTGTCTTTTTACCCGTTATAGCAGATTTGGGAACATTTGTTTGAAGTGTCGAACTTTCCGATAAATCAGAGAGTCTTATTTTGAAGTCCCCCTGCTGAGAGGAAGTAGACACTTGCTTCTTGTGGACTCCCATTATGTCGCTGTTTTCAGGGGGCTGAGAGGCACTCGATGGCTCTGGGGTCAAACTGCTTGTTCTGGCTGGTGTTGTGGGAGCACTTCCTGAGTAAACTCTGGCAGGGGAAGACGGGTTGTTGGAGCTGCTGTCCGGGCTCTGTAGAGGGCTGCTGTCTACTAAAATAGGTTTAGGACAGCTGATGCTGGGAGGATTTGAAGCAGATGGTTTCGAGGAAGGGGTAGCTTTGTCTTTGCATTCTGAAACTGCATGATTTGATTCTACACTTTGGCTTGACGGGACATTTTCTGAATCCATTTTCTCCAAATCAATGACTTCACCACAGCCGACCGCTTTCTTCTGACTATCTGTTTTCGAGACAAACAGAACGTCGCTGTCCGAGTCCTCCTCGTTATCTGCAGGCTTGTTTGCCTGATTGAACTCCTCCGCAGATATTGAGAAGGACTCTGTGATGATCGGCATCATCTCTGTAGATGAGTCACTTTTGCTTTCTGCCTCCTTAGACAAACCAGGAAGGCCCTTAACTTGTGATAAAGGTGAACCCAAGTTTGCAATGAACTTCACTCCCAGTATCTGCCCGGCATTGATGAGCTCTTCGAGCATGTCAGAGCGGACTCTGATAATCTTAGAGCTGTAAATATAGTTGAGAATCTGCTCAAAGATCTCAGGCCTGATGAAGTTTAGTTCAATCACTTGCCCAGCCACGGTAAACAGCTGGTGGAAATACGTACTTGAGGCAGACAGGATAGTTTTGTGAGCTCTGAACTTCCTGTCCTGTATAATGATGGTGATATCGCAAAATAATCCGTGGCTCCGCTGCTCGTTCATGTTCTTCAGCACAGCTGCTGAGTACTGTGTGTCGGTCGCAGATATCAGCTTCAGACTCGGCATGTCTACAGAGAAAAAGCAAATCATAATCAAACCTGTGAATGCACAACAACGTGAAGCAAGTAACATTTATTCATATCCAAAGCATTTTTCATAGAGTCAACAATCACTAAGTACTAAATAGAAGGAAATGCACAAAAAAGTTGAAAGAATTTATTATATTTTTTTATTTAAAGAAATAGAACTACAATTAAAAAACAAAAGTTAAGTAGCATTAAAAAAATAAAACTAAGATAAACAAAGTACAGGTTCATTTTTAGATTTAAATTGAATATTCACATTTTGAGTAATTTTTAACTTAATAAGCAACTATATTTAATCGGTTTTTATTTTATTTTCCTGGTTTCTTACCGATTTCTTCCTAAATTTTGGGATAAATAAAGTTGATCTTATCATATTATTATATCATGTCTTAATTATAACGTGCCACCATGCAGAGCAATGTGAGTTACACAAGTTATGTCAACAGGTAGTAAAAGAGCTGGCTCAAATTCAGTTTTGCCATTTCCTGCATTTCCAGTTCAAACAAGAACATCGAAACAACCCAGAACATTTACATGAGGAGCTTCAGCCTGAATCATGGCTCATGTTTTGGTATAGCTAGAGTCATGGTGGTCTAGGAGCTATAGGGTCCTTTTTTTGGATAGAAACAGTTCACTCATTGGTCAGTCTGTTAACTCAGCATCTGCAGGAGACTGTTTCAACTAATAATAATAAAAATAATAATAATAAATTGTTTATTGCTTGATAAAACTGAATAATGGAAAAAGGAGAGAAAGTGGTTCAATGGGACAGTGTATAATATAAAAGAGTATAGTTGAAAAACTAATTTTTAAGCTAACACTTTACACTAATACTGCAATGTCTTCCAAATATTACAAACTAAATGCATCTTGTTCTTTTTGCTGATTCACTATGACCCACTCTTACTGTATCCTTGCATCTTCCTGTACTACATTAATGAATCTTCTGTGGTCTTCCTCTTACCCTCCTGCCTGGCAGCTCCACATTCAGCAGTCTTTGTCCAGTATATCCACTAACCTTCCTATGCACAAATCACTCTGACATACTAATTTCTAATTATGGCAAAATCTTCCACTCTGCTACCTCCAGCTTGGCCTCCTATATTTTTGTTAGTGGATTTATTTATGCACATAAAAAATATCTTAATATAGTTCTTGGTATCCAGGGTGGGTTTTTTAGTTTAGCTATTACCGTTTGTGTCTTTTTCACTCACTGTATTATAGGAGATATACATTTTGGCAGTTTAGATCATGTATTATAATTTCAGTCACAGGCAAGTGGACATCTTCCTCTCCTTAGCAAAGACTAAACCTAAAGTGAACATCTGTATGTTTTTAGTTTAGTTTTTGTTAATTATAACCTCGGACAGCATGATTCAGTTTCTGTGCACACAATGTCAGACATGCTAATTACGTTAGCCTGGCAACAAAAACAAAACCGTCCCTTAGCTGGCGCTAGGTAAACGTTAATTTGCGGGACATTTTTAGCCTCTTGTGACACCAAGGCAGATTGAGGTACATATTAAAAAGACATTAAGGGGGTATTAATGCAACACTGAGAGCGCAATTATTATTTCTACTGAAGCTTTTAAGACATATATTGCTAACAAAGGTAGCACCGTTTCCTCCTTAATGAATCGCGGCCCGCTGTTTAGCATACTATTAGCATGTCTCTACTAGAATAGAGGCCAAATCGAAATCCTCTCTAACAGCAGCGTTAAATTGATGAGGTTTACCTGCAAAGCTTGATGATTTTGTCAGGAGTGAGCAGGGTGGCAGCCAGCGGATATGTTAATGAACGACAAACAATGGCTAACAACAACAGAGAGCCTCACTTTTCATTCTCAGCCACCAGGAGTCGCAGTCCTAAACGATTATAAGCATTCAAATGCAAACTATGTGGCTTTAAAGTACATTTAAAAACATCGTCCTAGCTTCATATAAATACAAATAAAGCTCAGATCTGAGGTTATTTCAGCTGGAAACTGTTTACTTTTTGCACGCCGGTTAGCAGCGCGATAACTGCCGGTTCATAAGTCTCGCCTTCAAAATAAAAGCTCACAACGGTCACAGGTGAATAAATGGTCAATTGAATAAGTACCTGCAGAAGAGCGTTTGAATTCATCCTCTCTTTTTAGGCTGGAAGCCGGCGGTGAAAGGCCGTTGAACTCTCTCTGAAGTTGATCGTACATCATCTTCCTCTTCTGGCCCTGGTATGGGTTATACTTTTCCGCGTGTTTTGCGTCGTAGTGCCTCTTCATATTGAACTCCTTGAATAAAACCTTCTGCTTGCAGATCATACATGTAGCAGTGGTGTCCAGTTCCGTGAAAAAGTACTCCTTTGCGCATTTCTCCTCCACGGGCTTGCTCACGGGTTCCGTTTTTCTTTTAACTTGAAC